CCGGGAGTAACATGGAATGACCGAGCTCCAAACATTTTGTTTTGTTTGTTTGTTTTTTTTCCTCTGCGCCACGGCAATGCGCAGAAGAAGTCAGAAAACGGCGCCGGCGCGCGCGCGCTCCCCCCACGCAGACCAGCCTCGGACGAACCGGCAACTGGCTGCTAAGGGGGGCGGCGCAGAAGAGCTCAAGCAACGGCCGGCGAGCGCGTGCGCCCCCGGGCAGACCAGCCTCGGACGAACCGGCAACTGGCTGCCAGGGGCGCTGCGCAGTCGGGGGGGGCTCTCAAGGCTCCTTGGAGTCCCTGCGCAAGGCGGTCGACACTCCTTGGTCGAGCAGTCCGCACTCTGCCGCGGCAAGGGGGGGGTTGACCATCCGAGGGGAGCTCCCACCTGCCGCGCGGGGTGCCGTGCACCCGCGGCGGCAGCGCTCGCCTTCTCGGGGCCCCCTCCCTCGCCAGACGGCGAGTGACCCAAACACTTGCATCGCACCAAACGTCTGCGAGCGCTGGGTGGCGGCGGGCCAGCGCACGCAGACGGGCTTCAAACACCTGTTCAGCAGCGGCAGAGCGCCCAACTCGACGGGCGTTCAGGGCCGCAAGAAAGGCTCCCATGCAGGAAGAACGACGGAGGAGACCAGCAACATCGTCAAATGCGAGGAGGAGGCAAGAGGGAAACCAATGGAATGAGCGCTCACCTTGATAGACTCGAATGTCTCCCCATCCATCTCCTGAGAAGTGATTCCAGCTTCGGACAGGAAGAATAATGGCGAAGCGAATCGTTGTCGACTCCGTCGACGGTCTGGCATCCGAATAGACATCCTCTTGGGGCTGAGTGAAATCGGGAGCTCGTGCAGATAGATCCAGCCAGCAAGCGAAAGGGGGCCATGCCAACATACATACTCGTTGTTTTGCACACTCTTTCTATGTTCTCTTTCAGGATGACGATATGCTCACGGGTGACCTCAGGGCAAAAGTGGTGGGCACGCCGAAGGAGGATGGACTCGATACTCTCACTGGTCACAAGCTCCCGAAACGCCCGATAGAGTCGATGTCGTAACATGCTCGAAGAGGAAGGGATGTCAAGGGAGAGCCCGCAATACCACATTTTGACCGACCTCAAATATCCCAAGAGGCCTTCAGCATGCCACCCACGAAGCCACCTATACGGAATGTGTTCGACGTCTGAACGAGAGGCCTCCAGCGAATCCAGAAGCCCAAAGATCCACCCAGATCTCAAGAGATACCGAAGGGCAGTGGCTTTCGCGACCGCGTCGAGCTCCAGGAATTCAGTGGCGAATCCGATGCGGGTAAGTTTCGTGGCGACGTTGTAGGAGATGGCGTTCCTGGGCCCCGAGGTGAGGAGGGGCACTCCGTTGCGGTAGGCGGACGCCAGTTCCTGGGAGGGCGGGTAGAGCTGAAGCCTGAACAGGAGCTTGCTAACACACATGACCTGAAAGGCAGCCGCGGACTGAGCAATTCCCAATCCCAATGCACGCGTCTGGTGAATCCTCGCAACATAGCTGGGGAGGATGGGGGGCCATACCTGCGCGGCGCCCTCGGGGCCGATCGGGAAGCCAAGGTAGGTGGCGGAGAGGGAGACCTGAATGAGGTTGTAGGGCGCGCCAAAGGAGCGGAGGAGGGAGCGGATGGGTGATGTGTCCATAGCGCCGCAGACGACCACCTGGCACTTCCGAAAGTTCAGCCGAAGGTTGGCAACCGCCGCCAGTGCTTCCAAGCTGTCAAGAAGCGCTTTGAGTGATGAGGAGATTCGCTCAACTCCAAAACCGAAGTCATCGGCATATGCAAAAGACAGCCCCAGCGCTGCGCCGAGGGACGCCCTAATCCATGCCAGCAGAGGGTTCACGGCGAGAACGAAGAGGAACATGGAGGCGGGGCAGCCTTGTTTGACCCCAGACGCGATACGAAGAAGCCCGTGACGACGACCACGAAGTGAGAGGATAGCGTTGTTATCGGAGTACATCATTCGGAAGAAGTGGACAAACGGGGAAGGAATGCCCATGGCCTCAAGCACGAAGAAAAGCCACTCCTGCGCCAGGCTAAGAAACGCTGACGTGAAGTCAGTCAACAGTAAAGCCGCGTCTGAAGATGCCGTCATGTATTTCTCCACCCCCCAAGCCCCCGCCCTCGCCACGTTCTCAATCATGTCCCTCCCGCTGACGCACTTCTGCTCCTCCCCTATCAGGCTAGCAGAGTTCGCGGTAATGGGCATGACGCAGGCGGCGGCTAGGATCTTAACATCCGTGTTGCCCAGGCAGATGGGTCTGGTGGCAGCCGCCTGTCGGTGCAGCGGGTGGCCTGGGCAGTCATCCTGCAGGGCACCTTTAGGAAGAAATACCAGCAAGCTGCAGAGCATGTCAGACGGGAGAGAGGAGATGCGGTCATCGAAGAGGGTGAGGTAGCACGAGTATAAAATACGAGCCGCACACGGTTGCTTCCACACGGCATACGGTAGTCCATCAGGACCAGGGGTGCTGTGCCCACGGGTCCGAACCATCTCAAACCATACAGCATAGGGAAGGCACCAAGTCGACCGAAAGCGGGGCCTGTACGGTGCGAATATGGGTGGCAATCGAATTCCACTGGGGGCGATCGACGGTGGGGGCGGAAACTGCTGCTCCCAGAAGGCCCCGAGAGTAACGGCGGCCTCCGAGTCGGACGACGCGTGGACTCCGCCCACCGAGATGATATTCCCCAGGACCGCCCGCTTCCGAAACTTTTGCCAGAGGAGCCGCCGCCGTCGTAACCGAGCCGTCGCCGACCTTTTCACCGATGCATCCGCTGAGCTCCTCCGAATATCGCCTTCCTCCTCCACCATAATTTGCCTGTGAATGCAGGAGATATGCTGCGATAACCCCTTGAAGTGAATGCACCGATCGAGCTCGCCGAAGTGGGTCCGAAGCCGAGGATAACATTCGAGAGCGAGTCGAGTCCCCTCTTGGTCACCACGTATCACCGCGCGCATCGCTGAGAGAGCCCAATAGTGCTTCTCCTGTCTCGTGCGGGCAAGCCGACGCCGCAGAGCAAGACGGGCCGATCGGCCAGCTTCAAACATCATAGACTTGGCAAACTCCAAACGGGTCCACTCGTCCCAGGCGGCGGGGATGGTAGCAATCACCTCCTCAAGGGCCTGTCCGAACTCAGGGGTCTCGGCAAGCCATGCGGGGATGCAGGGGCTCCTGGGGTCGGGAGAGTACCTTGTGATAGTAGAGCGAACGGGCAGGTGGTCGCTGCTCATCACCGCTTTCAGCTTCCCAACGACAGTGGTGGAGATGGTGAGATCACGGATAAGGGCAGCGGGAAGGGAGGTGTAGATCCGATCCAACCGCGAGGTCGAAGCGACGGCGGGCCCTTTCTTCCCCCTGCGGGTGTCGGCGGGCTGAAACAGTCCAGTGAAGTGAGGAAGATGACAGCGAAAGCGTCGTGAGCGCCCAGCGTCGCCGGCAGAGATACCACTCCCGTCCCCGTTGAGCCCCCCCTCCTCCTCTAAGACAAAATTCCAGTCCCCCATGAGCAGGATGTGTGCGCCTACGACGGCGTCCTCCCCCAGGTGTAACAGAACGTCGCGTTGCAGCACGCCGGGCACTCCAGCAAAAAGGGGGAATGCATCAGAAGTATTCGGGAGATGAAGATTGTATACAATCAGATTCCCATAATCCCCAATCAACGTCGATTTGATCATCCTCCCTGTGACCAAAGTAGAATGAGAAACGGAAGAGAAGAGATGCACGAGAGCAGGACTGAGAGCGGTGACAAACCCTCCTTCCCGAGAGGAGTCTTCAAAGAAAGAATATCCGAATCGGAAGCCAGGCAGGCTGTGTTCCAACTCAGCAATATCCCCGATATGTTCATGTGTTTCTTGTGCGGTAATGATGTCATTGGCGTTGCAGAGCGATAGGTAACGGTGGTAACGGTCCCGAGCACGCCAGGCGTTCGTTTTCACAGTGGTGAAGAGGGCGCCAGTGTTCCATGTACAGAGGGAAAGGGGGGAGGGGGGGAGGAAGAGGGAGGAGGCGCAAGAGGGGGGGGGCCTGAGTTGGAAAACGGTCTGCCTCCGTCTTAAAAGGGCCTACGGAGCGCCACCGCCCCTGCAGCCTCGACGCGCTCGATGCGTTCGACGATTCCAAGTTCAAGGAAAACATCTCTGGCGCAATGGAATGACCGAGCTCCAAACATTGGGAGCGTCATGCCCTCGGACCCCGACCCCAAGACCACCGTGCCGTAGACTCTGAAGCAGATATCCCCTCGTTGAAACTCGCTGTCAAGGTGAGGCTCGTGACCGAGTTGTTGTCTCGTTGATGCCACTCGCGGCACGCTGTGCAAGTGTCGACCGCGTCCTGTACCATGTTGATCACTTCCCTGGGTAGAACCGCGGCTGCAAGCAGATTCCGCAGACGCTGCGCGGGCGCGCGCCGCAAGTCGGACATGCATGCGCCGCAACGTACGCTGCGCCATCCCTGGGACAGCAGGTCGTAGTCCTTGAATAGCACTTCCCTTGCCCCACTGGGCCCAGTCCGCGCCAGCATCTATCTGCGAGACAACGTCCTGGCAGCGCCGTCGTCGTACGATGGATTCTTCAGCGCCCGCTCGGGCTGGCGCGCCTGCCCCCCCGGCCGGCGCAATGGTGCCTTCGGCCGGCGCGACGGCCCCCTCAGCAGGAGCAGCGTCAGCTCCTTCAGGAATCGCAGCGCCGGCTCCACCCGAAGGTGCTGCTTCAGGATGAGGCTGCATTTCTTCTTCGTCTCCAATGTCGGGCGCGCTCGACGTCCTGCCCCAGCTGCTCGCGTGGCCGGAGCTCGGGGGTCGCGTGCGTGAACCGACCCCGAGATTGAAGTGCCCGCTGTCCGTGGGTCTTCCATGACCGAGCGACAACCGGCATCGCGCGCGTGTCGACTGTCAAACCTGCCCCTGCCCGCCTGGCAGGCCGGGCGCGGGAACTCCTCGGACTCGAACAGCGGGTGCTGGCGCTGCCCGGGGGTCCGA